GCATCTCATTAAGGCCTATAAATGACGTGCCTAAAGGTGACTTTGACCTATTTTTTCAAGGTCACTGGCCTAAAAATATCACCAAAAACTTCGACATTTTGCTGTATCTCATCAACTATTTCAGTTACAGGCTCCTAATTTTCACTGGACATGCATCTCATAAAGGCCTACAAATGATGTGCATAAAGGTGACCTCGGCCTATTATTTCAAGGTCACTGGCCTAAAAATATCATCAAAAACTTCGGCATTTTACTTTATCTCATCAACTGTTTCAGTTACAGGCTCCCAATTCTTACTGGATGTGCATCTCATAAAGGCCTACAAATGACGTGCCTAAAGGTGACCTTGGCCTATTTTTCAAGGTCACTGGCCTAAAAATATCACCAAAATTTTCAACATTTTGCTTCATCTCATCAACTATTTCAGTTACAGGCTCTTAATTTTTACTGGACATGCATCTCATAAAGGCCTACAAATGACATGCCTAAAGGTGACCTTGGCCTATTTTTTTCAAGGTCACTGGGCTAAAAATATCACCAAAAACTTCGACATTTTGCTGTATCTCATCAACTATTTCAGTTACAAGCTCCTAATTTTTACTGAACATGCATCTAATTAAGGCCTATAAATGACGTGCCTAAAGGTGACTTTGACCTATTTTTTCAAGGTCACTGGCCTAAAAATATCACCAAAAATTTCAACATTTTGCTTCATTTTGCTTTATCTTATCAACATTTTCAGTTACAGGTTCCTAATTACAAGCTCCTGAACATGCATCTAATTAAGGCCTATAAATGGGCCTAAAGGTATTTTGACCTATTTTTTTCAAGGTCACTGGCCTAAAAAATATCTCCAAAAATCCATTTTGCTTCATTTTCCGTCAACATTTTCAAAACTTTGACATTTGGGTCCATCCATGCGGTGTCCCGCCAACAAAAACTTTGACATTTGGGTCATTCCATGTCAAGTCACACACCCTCCCCAGTGACACCTCTTCAATTTGCCTGATTTTTATTCTATTAGTGTCTTATGATGTCAAATGAAAGAATCCGAAGTTTGAGCTTCCTAGCTCAAATGGTTTTTGAGTTATGGCCCTTCAAAGTTTGGGTGCCACATCCACTTTTGGGGTCTGGGAATTGCACAGTTAAAATAGACAGTTAAAACAACAGTTGACCTACTTTCTGGACTTAGGATTTTTCTGAAAATATCCAAAAATAGTGCAATATGCAAAGGCTTAGTTGATAGTGAAGGTGTTTGATAATCAAAGTTTTTATTGGCTCAAAACTTTGATAAAGGGTGACTGTTGATGGGGTAAAAAGCTCATTCCAGTCATCATGTGCCCACATGGCCAACTCGGGGCCTGAAGTAGGGGGTACCAAAGGGTAATTTTGTCCCGAGGCCATATTTGGGACCCTCCTGTACCCCCATCAAGGCTCTGAGTGCCCTGAAATTCTCTAAATACACAGTAGTGTACCCATATATGATGATAAATTAGTTGAAACCCCATCAGGACAAAAACTTTCCAAGATATAGACCCCCAAAGTGCCCCAAAAATTTATTGCGTCATTAAAAAATCCACTTTTAAGGGGTTAATATCTCTAAAAATAGTAAACCTGTGCTAGTTTAAAGTGCAGATTCTGATTGATAGGGCCAGAATACATGGATATAGCAATTTACAGGCCTGTAGCTAGCTTAAAACAAAAGATATGGGTCTCCAAAAATGCTTGCAAATTAAGCGTGCAATTCCTAGACCCCAAAAGTGGGCTTGGACACATCAATGTGATATCGTCAGCGTACCCATCCGCACCGACATAGAGGCTTCCGACATGACAACCAATTTCAGACTTGCTGAGGAGTAAAATCAACTCATCAATATATATAATAAAAAGTATGGGAGACAAAACTCCGCCTTGTTTAACACCATTTTTTACATTAAAATAACGTGATTTGAAATTATCCAAAGATACGCAGATTTACTGTCGAGTGTACCAGTCGAGTAACAAACGAACAATAACAGAAGGAACCCCTCTAGACATTAGAAGTGAAAACAATTTGCCGTAATGCACTTTGTCAAATGCCTTGCTTGCATCTAACAAACAAGTGTAGACATCATTACCTTCACGAACATAGTAATTGACAGTTTCTAAGTATATAGCTGTACATATAGTAGTAGAGTGTCCGGGCTTGAATCCAAACTGTAAATCTGAAGTATATAAGAACTTCCCATAAAGATCTATGATTATCCGTTCAAATAAGTTCGATATAGAACAGCACAGAGCAATGCCACGATAATTGTCACGAGAGCAAAGGGACGCTCGCAAACTTTTTGGGATTGACACAATCGTGGAGTACAATAAGTCATTAGGAGCGTGCCCATGCATAACCATGCGGTTGAAATTGGTTTTATATTCGACATTCGCTTATTTTTTCTGTTTCTAACTTTAATAGGGTCATGAAAACTGCACCAATTCCATCCAGGTTGGTATTATTTTGTAGAAATAAGTAAGCCAGACATTTCACAGGTCTCATCAACTCACCAACCTCAGTGGTTGTGGCGAAAACTCAAACGAACAACGCTGAATGTCCTTCCGAGTACCGTGCGGCAACCAGAGCGCTTAGGGACCGTGGTAAAATTGCAATCTGTGATTTTTCAGTCCGAACAACCAAAAAAATAATAACAACAACGCACAAATACTGTCACTACCAGAAGGCTAGGAGTCTCACATCATGTTATTATTCACTCATACTCAATAGCGCCACCACATGGTCGGTTATTAAGCATCTTACCTTTTGGCAAATAACTCATGAACCGTGGAGGCGTATCAAAACAGCATTTGGACGGTAGGTTCCTTGGATGAAGTCGATTCAAATGGTATAGGCCACGCCCATTTGCACTTGTAACAATTTGCCGCCATTTTGGATTTTCTGCTAAACATATTTTCTGTCTTTATTGCCACATATTTCATCCAATCTTCACCAAATTTGGTATATGTCATATGTAGATGACTCTGAACAAGGCTTTTCAATTAGTTTTTTGATATCATGTATAGTTGGTCTGTAATTTGCAATCAAATTCTTAAGGGCATGGCATGATGCACTTGATGGGACGTAAGTCTTCAATGCACAATGGAATTTCAACCACATTTATGAATGTTATACATACAGCCATGATGCACAAGTGTGTCATATTTGAGCCATTTCTGCCGTGAGGGGGCGCTGTAGTCAAAATGTAACATGAATTTTAGACATGTTTACTGTTATGACAAAATTTGTTGTAGAGTTTCTTCATAAGCAAGGCCAGGCAGTGCAGGCCATGGCAGCAGTGCCAGGCAGGCAGTCACCCTCAAAATTTCGTAGAAATTTTCTAGTTATTATTATTATGAACTATGCATTAAATGTACCGTTACCTCTACTGTTTACTGGTCAATACCATATACATTAATTCCATTTTAATGTAAAAGGAACTTAATCTGTATGATTTTTTTTCATATTTTCTAGCCTACGTTTTTCTTTTCTTTTAAATTATAAAAATATTGAAAATGCCTTAATTCTATGTATCACTTTTATTTTGAAATAAGTCACTGGAATTTCAACTTGTCGACACCAAACTACTTCTCATCTGTTTGTAAGGTCATTATGAAGCTTTCACAAACATTTGTTCATCAGAAAAAAATGCAAATACCATTAACAGATTAAGTGTTCAGTGAGCTTTATTTATTAATATTCATCTATTTCATTTTGAAATAGGTCACTGGAATTTCAACCTATCAACACCAAAATACATCTAATCTGTTTTTCAGCTAATTATAGATCTTTCACAACCATTATCTCCCAGAAAATCATATCAAAATATCCCACAAACAATTAGTATTCGTTAAACATTATTTAGGAATATTTCTCAGTTTTATTTTGAAATAGCTCTCTGGAATTTCAACCTACCAAACCCATTCTACTTCTCATTTGTTTGTGAGAGTCAGTACTGATCTTTCACAACCATTTTCTCCCAGAAAAACATAAAATATATCCCCCAAAAATAGTATTAATTGAGAATTATTCATTGATATTTCTCTATTTTATTTTGAAATATCTCTCTGGAATTTCAACCTACCAAACCCATTCTACTTCTCATTTTTTTGTGAGGTCGGTACTGATCTTTCACAACCATTTTCTCCCAGAAAATCATGTAAAAAATATCCCACAAACAATTAGTATTCATTGAGCATATTTTATGAATATTTCTTGGTTTTATTTTGAAATAGCTCTCTGGAATTTCAGGCCGACCAACACCAATCTACTTGTCATCTGTTTGTAAGGTCAGTACTGATCGTTCACAACCATTATGTCCAGAAAATCATGTAAAAAATATCCCACAAACAATTACTATTCATTGAGCATATTTTATGAATATTTCTTGGTTTTATTTTGAAATAGCTCTCTGGAATTTCGGCCTACCAACACCAATCTACTTGTCATCTGTTTGTAAGGTCAGTATTGATCTTTCACAACCATTATCTCCCAGAAAAAATATTTGAATATATCCCAGAAACAATGAGTGTTCAGTGAACATCATATGAATATTTTTCCATTTTATTTTGAAATATCTCTCTGGAATTTCAACCTACCAAACCCATTCTACTTCTCATTTGTTTGTGAGGTTGGTACTGCTCTTTCACAACCATTTTCTCCCAGAAAATCATGTAAAAACATCCCACAAACAATTAGTATTCGTTAAACATTATTTAGGAATATTTCTCGGTTTTATTTAGATCAGTTGTTAAATTTAAATTATTCCTTATTCTCTGGTGACATATTAGGATGATTTTATGACTATTTGCCATAATTTTCTTTCATACATTACATACTTTAACTCTTGAGCAGTAAGCAATAGTGACTTGAAAACCAACTTGTTTTTTTTTGGACACTTTTTGCCTTTATTAGATAGGATAGCTGAAGAGTAGACTGGAAAGGGGGCAGAGAGAGAGGGAATGACAAGCAGCAAAGGGCAGGAGGTGGGAATCGAACCAACGGCAGCTGCAGAGGACATGAGGCGGATGCTCTACCAACTGAGCTAAATGCCCGCCCCTTGAAAACCAACGTTACGGAGGATTCATGTACCAGGTGCTCACCTGTCTTGGTTCCATAAAGTTACGGACTACCGTTCCAGACTGTTTTGGACTGCATTACTTCCGTTAACTCCTGAGAGGTAAGCAATAGTGACTTGAAACCAACTTTTACGGGGGATTCATGTGCCAGGTGTTTACATGTCTTGGTTCCATAAAGTTACGGACTACCGTTCCAGACTGTTTCAGACTGTGTTACGCTGTCAGTGTTACATATTGTGCCTTTTGATTTAGAGCTGCAACAATTAATCGATTAATCGAACAATAATCAATTATTAAATTAATCGTCAACTATTTCAAAAATCAAATAATTGAGCCCCTAAGAACCATACCGGGCCATCCCGCACTTTTGGCGAAATTGAGTTGAGGTAGTCAGCATGTGCAGAAAACTGAGATCTACATTTGCTAAATGAGCCAACCCAATCTACCCACATGGATTGTTCATATAAGCAAACGTCCTCTCTGCCACTGTACATATGCACTGCGCTGCCTTAGCCATAGTGGACCGTCCCACAACTTATCCATAATTCAATGTAAACTTGGCGGCTAGGTATCGCACTGATGAGGTGCTTTGCTGAATTTGGTGATGATGGTGAAGTGGAAGATGATAGAGACCCAGAGTTTGACCCAAATGAATCAGAAGATGATGGTTCCTCTTCAGAAGGAGGTACCTTTCACTTTAAATGAAACAGAAGGGCATCCAAAACCTGCATAAGAAGTGCACTACGTAACTGTACATATCTTGAGTTTTTAACATTAGCAGTGTTTCTAGTTCCCAGATACTCTGAATGGCCTTGAGAAGCTGGCAACTTTGAGTCCCATTTTCTCAAAAGTTCCCCAACATGGGTTGGCCCAGTATGGCTCTTAGGGGCTCAATTGTTTTATAAAGAAAAAAAGTCCAAATTCTCTGATTTCAGCTTCTTAAATGTGAATATTTCTGGTTTCTTTGTTCCTTTATAGCAATATACTGAATATCTCTTTGGTTTGCGGACAAAACGAGACATTTGACGACGTCATCTTGTGGTTTGGTAAACACTAATTGACATTTTTCAACATTTAACATTTCATTGACCAAACAACTAATTGATTAATCATTTAAATAATCGACAGATTAAACGATAATGAAAATAATCGTTAGTTGCAGTCCTATTTTGATCAATGTCAAGTGTCCTAGCAGCACAAATTAATTACTCATAAAATGTTTTACTTATGTTTATATTTGAAGGGCCTGCAAAGTCATCATGGGGCATACAAGGAAAGGTGGTAAAATACCGAAGGAGGATCTGTGGGTAAGGGCTGGTGGTGAACAGCTCGTAATTAGGGAATTATTATTTTTGCAAATAATGAAAAGGGAAACATCTTGGAACTCTGAAGTATGGCCAGAGCTTTCCATTCGTTTGTTTGGCGTTAACCAGAGAGGTTAAAGAAATGGCTATATGTTGTATGGCTGCAAAACAGACGAGGGGTTAGGACAGCAACCCAACAACTAACGTCACAAGCTATTGTGCAAGTTGGAGACCAAGTTTGTTCCAGTAAATCGGTGCATACATCCACCACAGAAACAGGCACTGAAAATTTGGATGAAGTGAAGAGTGATAGTGCCATTCAAGCGTATGATACCTACCTGGGTGGAGGAAATGAGAATGTTGATGACCTTCAGGAGTCAACTACAGATAATGCAACAAATATAGCTGCTGCAATTGATACAGCTACAGCAACAGATACAGGCGATGAAAATTTGGATGAAGTGAAGAGTGAAGAAAGTGCCGTCCTGGAGACTGATTCTTGCCTGGGTGAAACGTGCAGCTCAAGTAAAGTTAAGAAGCACTTCAAAAAGGGACGCTACATTGGAAAAACATCACCTGTGAAAAAGATCCAAAGTACAAGTGAAAAAGATCAGTACAGACCTACACAACCTGGACCTAAAACATTTAAAATGCACATTAAGAGGGACAAATGGGACAAGATCAAGCCAAGTCATGGATCATCAAAACTCAGGAAGTCATGGACACATGTCCTATACAGTAGCTTTCGAAAGCACAACCCTTGCTGTTCTCTTGCATTCAAGTACCAGCATTTTAGAGCACCTAGAGGCCGAAAGACTTCATCACCTTCGTCCAAAATAAAAGCAGTGTGCATGTTTTCTTCATGCAAAGCCAAATACTTCTTTGAAATGCCAAATAAACCCTCAAAGAATGCAAAAAAGATTACAGTTCATGTGTCTCGAAGTGGTGAAGTTGCACATTTACGTGATGAGACAAGGGCAAGGCCAGCCAGCAATAAGAAGAGAGGAAAAATTGCAAAGTCAATCACTGGTGGTGTGAGTAACACCTTTCATCAGAGCCTGGGGAAAACACCATCATTGGAGCTACTTGCTGGTAACCTCACGAGCACTGTCAAAAGACGTCCTCAAAGTTGTGTCAGCAGAGATAAGTAGAAGCACAAGGCTTCATGATGACATGTTGCTGGAGCTAATACTGACACAGCAAATAATGAGGAGAGAGTCTGGCAGGTACATTTTCTGTCCAGGGTACATCCAGCATCTGCAAGTGGATCCCTTTGGTGTCCACTTGTATACCGAGCAAGGAATTGCAATTTTTGCAGATCATCTCCGCCAAAGTTCTCCAGTGACCCTCTTCCTTGATGCCACAGGTGGCGTTGTGCGCCGGCTCCCCAACCAACCCAAGAGGGTTCTGTATTATGCCCTCTGTTTGTCAGGTGATGGCAAAAACAAACCACCTCTTCCTGTCAGTGAAATGGTCACCAATGACCACACCGTGGCCAATCTGTCCTTTTGGCTAATGAAATTTTTGACAAAAGTCAGAAAAATCACTGCCAATAAAATTTAGCCAAGTGAAACTGACTACAGTTGGGCCCTAATGCAAGGTGTTTTGTTGGCCTTCAACAGGCGAGATATTTTGGGATACCTTGAGATGCTGTGTAAAATCATCCAAGGCTCTTTTACAAAAAAAGAGCTAAAGGGCATCACTGTGCTACACCTGTGCTCAGCAGATATCCTGAAGGCCGTCTCTGTTTCCTTTTCCAGGAAGACCAGAGATAAAGGCCTGAAGGAATTTGCCAATCATTGCGTGGCACATCTGATAAACAGCATCAGTCTGAATCCTGCAGTCCAATTTTTTGGCCACATGGGACGGATTTTTGGAAGTAGGTTCTCCACTCAGGAAGTACAAGAGAGCTTGGAGGTCATCAAAGGCTGCATCAAGAGCAAGACCAATCTAGATGATTCCAGCACTCAGCTAATGAAGACACAACCTGAGCCACCAAAGAGAGCCAAGACTGTTCTTGCCAACTCACCGTTTCGGCATTTTTTTGAAGTTGTCTTGGAAAGTGACCAGTCCAATGTGCCAGATGCGAATGGAAATTGTGAGGGGAACCCGTACTACTGTCCTGATATCATCAATGTTTTGCTGCAGGATTACATGGGGATCTTCCCACTTTGGTCAGGCCTTATGTTGGGGGATCTATGCAGATATGCAAGTGATGCAGATCCAAGCAAAGTTGGTACAGCAGACACCAAAACAAGGCTTACTAACTGCCATGTCAAGAACTGGTTTTCAATCACTAAGAACCAGATTCTACACAAGGAACGCTTCCTCAGGCCTTTCATACGGAAGCAGCATACCTCTCTGCGTGGCCGCTACAAGGAACACATCCTGCAGTATGGCTTCAATCAGGAGCTGTTAGGCGGACCATTGAAAGACAAAGAAGAGCATCTGGAGCATGCTGAGGAACAATGGGGCAAACGTAGTGTGCATGCAGCTCCTAAAAGGACAAAATATTTCCACCCTCCCCACAAGATCCCAGCTCCTATGGGAGTGAAAAGACTCATCCGGATGAAAAGGCAACAGATGATGACCAATAAAAAGGTATGTCATTAAAATACATTGACAGATTCTAAAAAATAGATAATTGTAAGATTTCTGCAAGTCAAATGCTGAAACTACTTTGTTTAAAATGTAAAATTCCTTTCAAAGGTTGAACATGTTCTTTTCATTCTCATGAATTTATTTACTAATGTTTATTAAAAATATAGACTTCTTGAAGTGAAATTCTGACACTACTTTGTCATAATTAATATTCCTGTGTAAATGTTGTAGATTTTCTTTGATTTGCATGATTTTATTCTGATTTATGTGATTTTTTTTAACTTATTTCCAAAAGGTCATTAAAAGATCAAAAAATGGATCACAACAGAACACAGGAGACACTGGACAGGTACGACATTATATTTTCACAAGTTTTCTGTTCTCTTGGTCAGTTTACAACTCCCCCTTACATTCTGACTTCATCAGATCTACTTCTAAAATTTCATAGATATCTGCAGCTAAAGATGGCCAGCAAAAAGGGGGAGACCAGACAATCACCACTTCAACAACAGCACAACTGGTATCTGTCTTTTTTAAATAAAATAGTATTTTTCAATAGTGCTGTGTCATATTGGTGAAAATAAATATCAATAAAATCAGGAATATTTTTATATATAAATTTAGATACATCACAATATCGCTCAGAAAACAAATAAAATTGCTGATATGTGTGTGTGTGTCAAACAAAAACAGGATGAAAAATAAATTCCTTACTCTGTTTCATTCCTGTCGCAGAATTGTTTATCACAATATCCAACAATCAACAAATCATATGATTCCACATAAAGATGATGAAAGACAATACAATTTACATTATTACCCAGCACTTTTTATAAACAACCCCAATTCCGAAATAGTAAGGACAAAGTGTAAATTGTGAATAAAATCAAAACGCAATGACTTTCAAATCACACCAGCCAGTATTTTATTCACAATAGAACAGAGATAACATAGCAAATGTTAAAACTGAGAAATTTTATAATTTTATCCACAAAATGAGCTCATTTCAAATTTCATGGCTGCTACAGGTTTCAAAAAAGTTGGGACAGGGGCCCGTTTACCATGGTGTAGCATC